GCCTGAGATGTCCTTATAGAATGTCTCCTCAATGATGTGGAAATATGTCACTCACCTATAATCATAGACATCCATATGAATGTGTATGACTGTAGTGTTGATGCTTCAAAGAGGAATTTAAGATGCAAAATTAAAAAAAAAAACTACACTATTCCTATAATTTAATAGATAATTTATTTATTAATTCACAAATGATTAATTAAATCGATTAAAAGTGAAAGTAAAGACATTTATAATGTTACCAAAAAATTATGTTTCATAAAAAATGCTTTGCTTGAATTTTCTATTCAAATAAATCTGGAAAAAAAAATGTATCACAGATTCCGTAAAAATACTGAGCAGCACAATTGTTTTTAACATTGCTAATAAGAAGAAAAATAAGAGCATCAAATCAGCATTTCAGAATGATTTCTGATTTGCCATCACAGAAATAAAATATATTAAAATAGAAAAGGTTTGTTTTAATTTATAATAATATTTCCAATAAATCTGGAAAAAAAAATGTATCACAGATTCCGTAAAAATACTGAGCAGCACAATTGTTTTTAACATTGCTAATAAGAAGAAATGTTACTTGAGCATCAAAACAGCATTTCAGAATGATTTCTGATTTGCCATCACAGAAATAAAATATATTAAAATAGAAAAGGTTTGTTTTAATTTATAATAATATTTCACAATATTACTCCTTTTACTGTATTTTTTATCAAATAAATGCAGCCTTGGTGGGCATAAGAAATTTATATATAAGAGTAGAGATGTATGATTTTGATCACAGGCCGATATTAAGAGTTTTACTTCATTTAATAGCACTGTTTTTTTGCAGAAAATTTAATTGTGCATGATAATTTCCCATATTTTCACATTTGAATTACCCTTGCCATCATCTAAAGCTCATTTAAAGTTAATTAAAAAAAAACAATAATAAACCATAATGTAACAAGCTGCATAAACCAAACAGACTGGATGCCAACCAGCGATGGATGATACAGGGACTGTTTTTACAGTTGGTTGGATAATAGTGTTTCATACTGATTGTATGCTAGTTTGTGCTTCCTGACATTAGCTGGCCAATTCCCTAACGCTTATGCTACATGAACTTTTGTGGACAGACAAAACAAGGCCTCATGCCTTGCAAACAAACATAATGTATACTCTAATCAACCAGAATTATGAGCACATATTTGTAATTTGCTGCTCACTCAGAGACCAAAAAAGGCCTCCAGACTGTACGCCCGACCACATTCGGTATGCAAGGCTAAGATTGCAACAAGAATGCAAAATGAGAGAGTATTCCCAATAAAGTGGCAAGGAGACGGCCTAACCTTGACTGACCATTTATCTTAGAGACTTAAGGGGAAAAAGCTTTTAACAAGCCCTAAAATATCCATGACCTCATACATCATGTGCGTCTACAACCGGATTCGTTTTATCACCTGTTACGCCGTTTGTCCCGAATCCCTCAGCAATGAGATTCCAATGTCAACTTCATTAAACTCTATCCATTATGCATAAAGGTGCAATCTATAAGCACCAACACCAGCGACGCACTCAAAACACGACATGAATTTGTCAGACGCTTCTTTGCTTACAATGAAACCGATAGGTTTCTAAAAATATCCCCATCTGGCTTTGAAATATTCAGCAAGTGTGGCCAACGTCCAAGGCCACTGGGTTAGGAAAGCTTTACACCTAATGAGGGGACCGGTGCGCAAAGCTTCATTTTGGAAAGGGGAGGTTGCGTTTCTGCATGACAAACCTCGAAAGCTATGCTTCATTAGCCTTTTTAGCTGTAGCTAGGAGACAGTGGCATCTTTTAATCAGATTCTTTAAATGTAATCCCACAGAAAACTCTGAATATCAAAGGCTGCAATGGCGATGGGCATTTAGCACTGTTTTTTTGCAGAAAATTTAATTGTGCATGATAATTTCCCATATTTTCACATTTGAATTACCCTTGCCATCATCTAAAGCTCATTTAAAGTTAATTAAAAAAAAACAATAATAAACCATAATGTAACAAGCTGCATAAACCAAACAGACTGGATGCCAACCAGCGATGGATGATACAGGGACTGTTTTTACAGTTGGTTGGATAATAGTGTTTCATACTGATTGTATGCTAGTCATTTAAAGTTAATTTAAAAAAAACAATAATAAACCATAATGTAACAAGCTGCATAAACCAAACAGACTGGACGCCAACCAGCGATGGATGATACAGGGACTGTTTTTACAGTTGGTTGGATAATAGTGTTTCATACTGATTGTATGCTAGTTTGTGCTTCCTGACATTAGCTGGCCAATTCCCACTTTTATTTTTAAGAGTGTACGACAACGGTCAAATCAAGAAACAGGAACACAGAACCTGATGACATAATGACACCGCTTGCTCCACACACATTGTCGTCTTCTTTTTCTCTCGATTTTTCATTTACTTTTTAAGTCAAGCCATGACCAAAATTAATGCTAGAGACTGTTTTTGTTTGCTAGCCACTATGTTAATTCAGCATGTGAATGTGACTCACCACCACCAAACTTATCACGGATTGATGACGTAAAACTTGAGTCTTCTTGCGTATGTCCATTTCTAACAAATCTAGACTTTTAATGTTTTCAGATTTGCCACATTCACTTCCAGTGTAATTATCTCACTTTAACCCAAATTTACACTTTTTTAAGAAACAAAAGGACATGTTGAAATTTTTTGTGTTGCTGATTATGCTTAACTTGTATTAAACCTATAATATTCCTTATTTTCATTTATCAATCACCCTAAATCTGTTCATATAATCACCAAGACATTAATAATAAAGCCATAGGGGGTCTACCCAAGCGGTGGCAGCTATGGCTTGATTTGCGAGTGTATGCTTTGCTGCTCTTGAAACATTGACGTGCATAAATTAAGATTAATTCAGGACCCCTGCTTTGCACTTAATGCACTTAATCTCTGGAGCCAAGCATGGGAAACCAACATTTTTACTGCAAGATACCACATCTCAGAATTCAAGCTTAGCGACATCCTTTCTCATCTTAAATCAAAGAGTATATTAACTGTTCGTGAAGATACTGATATCAGGACATGAGGAAGTCCTCTGTCATGTGATCCTCTATGGGAGACTTCTCATAGTGGAGGGATCCTCAACCAACTGATCAAACTTCATTGCAGGGAAGCAGTGAGAGGTGGCTTTACGTCCCAAAACCAGACCCTGTCCTTATGCTCCTCTCTCTTCAATGACCCCCAACATGTGGACTATCATCTGTTTGTGCTCTAATTGGCTGTAAAATGTTTATATTGTGTCGTTATCCTCAGAAAAGCAGGCAAAAGCCACATGAAAATAATTTGCAAGATTTATTTACTCACATTAATTTGTTTTGGGCTAATCTCATAACTTCATCTCACATTAGTGCGTGTTGTGTTGACTTAAGCAGGCACTAGACCTCCATGGGGCTAAACGCTCTCTTGAGAACTAGCTAAATGAAGAAGCAATTATAAAAAGCCACTGATAACTGTATAAGTAGGAGTTTGTTTTCCGCGTGATCTATGGAAGTGCTCTGGAATTCAATTAGAATTTGATACCACATTGTTTCAATCAACTAACAAACCGGAAAAAACAGGGGTTTAACCACATTAGGCTTCAGATGGTGACCACAACAACAACAACTCAAAACGTGTCAAGAGCACTTGGGAAAAGTGCCAGGCTAGAGGAGATATTGATTTATAAGGAATAAAAATATATATTTTTTATTCCTTATTTACTTGTTCTATTTTTTATTTTTTATTATCTGTGTTTTTTGTTCTGTCACTGTCATTCTGTTACACTGTGGAAGCTTCTGTCACTAAAACAAATTCCTCGTATGTGTAAACATACCTGGCAATAAAGCTCATTCTGATTCTGATTTGCTGGGCAGACTCACTAAACTTTACTGAGTAAAATAAATCTTAATTTAGAAGCGCTGCAAAATTCAAACAGAAAATCAACTGAGACAACTGCGTGTTAGTAATAAATTAATCCATCAAGACGTTTATAACTTCAAACCATTGTTTCAGGCTAAAACATGAGTCCTCTATCCATATTGCTTTCTCCAGTGAAAAAGTCATCTGGTCTGAATCAGAAGAGAAAGGTCCATGCACAGATCAAGCACCATTTACAAGCAAAAACAGTTCTAGACAAATATGTCGGTGGATTTTGATGTGAGAGGACAACAGTGGGATGGTCTTTTTCACTGGAAGAAGCAGACTGGTATTTTGACCAGAAGCGATGGTTTAAAATTAAAATGCTTTAAGTAAAACACACTGTTACATTATTAATTGTTTAGTAGCAGTTAAACTGATTCTTTCATCCACAGTAAGAGAGAAAACCATCAACACTTCTGACCAGTACAATAATGCATGATTTGACATGCAGAGATTTATACATAAAACAGGAAAAATACATTCATAATCATGATAAAGATACTTCATCAGGAGTGCCCATACAGCTATATACAGTACATATCTGAACAGAGAACAAGCTCAGCACAGAAAAAAAAATGGCAAAGCCAGTTTTACAATGTTTTGAGTTCACGTTCAGTGGAATTAAATGATTTGATCCACTTAACATGGCTCGAGCACAAGCATTAAGATTGTTTGCTCTGATGCTTAGGTATCAAGTACAGTGCATTCATGTCAAACAGATTGCTGCTTAATACAATGAAAAGAAGGCACTACAAAAATCTATCAATTTCTTATTCAACATTTTAGTCTTGATTTCCAGTAAAAAAATATGAAGACATGAGGCATGAGACATGATATATATAACAATAGTAGTAATAATAATAATAGTAAATTATTGTTAGAAAATTTCACGTTTTTAATATTCCAGAAAATAACCATTAGTCTTTAAAATCGTATGGATTAATAAAACCTTAAGAGCATCAGCAGAAAAGCCGCAGTGATTCCGCTGTCAAAACAAAAACATCCAACATTAAGTCAAAAAAACAGCGGCCACTCGCCTTACCTTTTTCTTGACAAGAAAGTATCTCTTCCTCCTTTGGATTTGCTACCTGGGTAATGATGGACGTGTTGTCCATGGAAACGGGATTTTATTCCTCCTCGGTCACTTATGTTTCGATAATTTTCAGCTAGCCTGATGCTAGCGAACTAGCGGTGTGAGTCCAGATGGCAGACGCACCATACACCGCAAACGATCTTACACCAGCGCATCCAAATAAACATACAACACACACTTCACGATCATACAGCGAGCAGTGCGACACGAGATACTCCTGTCAGATGGCGGGAATCGGCGACATCTCAGCCCTCGTGTGATTTGAGGTCTATGGAGATCAGTGACAGAGTGTGTAATAACAAAGAATCTGATCTGCAGCCACGCTTTCTCTGCTCTTGTGCGTGCGTGCGTACGCGCGTGTGTGTGTGTGTGTGGGAGAGATGTACCTGGTAACCATAATTACTGCAGTTACTTTTGATATCAGCGACACTGTCATAAAAAGTGTGGGGGGGAAGTGAAATAAAATTAATTCATTCATTCATTCTAGGAGGAAGTCGTGGCCTAATGGTTAGAGAGTCGGACTCATAACCCAAAGGTTGTGGGTTCGAGTCTCGTACCGTGACAGAGTGTGTAATAACAAAAAATCTGATCTGCAGCCACGCTTTCTCTGCTCTTGTGCGTGCGTGCGTACGCGCGCGTGTGTGTGTGTGTGGGAGAGATGTACCTGGTAACCATAATTACTGCAGTTACTTTTGATATCAGCGACACTGTCATAAAAAGTGTGGGGGGGAAGTGAAATAAAATTAATTCATTCATTCTAGGAGGAAGTCGTGGCCTAATGGTTAGAGAGTCGGACTCATAACCCAAAGGTTCCCACCTTCAATACCACGACTGAGGTGCCCTTGAGCAAGGCACCGAACCCCCAACTGCTCCCCGGGCGCCGCAGCATAAATGGCTGCCCACTGCTCCGGGTGTGTGTTCACTGCTGTGTGTGTGCACTTTGGATGGGTAAATGGGTCACCATGGGTTGGCCACATGTCACATCACTTCTATATGAATTATTAATTTATTATGATAATTTGGCAAAAACGTTCATGTAAGTATTTTACAAAAATGTAGCACTAAACATTGAATAAAATATTAAATAAATAAATGTACTATTTATTTAATCCAATCTTATTTTAACGATTAATTTATAATTTATTGATTATCATGTATTAAAATTTATTAATTATATTGTGTCAACTTAAAACGTAATATATGCAATATATGCCCTGCAAAAATAATATTTTAAATAAATTTTTCGTCGTTTTCTAGAACAAAAAAAAATACACTATACATATGAAACTATTTCTAGCAAAAATGTAAAAATAAATTTCTTTAAAACCAATTAAATGTAAAACATTAAGACGTTGTACACTTAAAACAAGAAAAAATAACGAATCTAATTCTTGTTGAATTAAACACTTATACTTTGTTGTTGTTGTTTTTTTTTTTTTTTTTTTTTTTTTTTTTTTTTTTTTTTTTTTTTAAATAAGGTTGGCCACATGTCACATCACTTCTATATGAATTATTAATTTATTATGATAATTTGGCAAAAACGTTCATGTAAGTATTTTACAAAATTTTTTTTTTTGTAACGTTTTTGCCAAATTATCATAATAAATTAATAATTCAATAGCACATTACGTAGGCATCTATGGTTTAAAAGCGAAATGATTTTGCTGAGATACTAAGAGAAATTTCAGAAATGATTTAATGACAGAGAGAGGTGGGAGCATAATTAATCTTGTTAGCGCTCACTTCCAACAGCATAACTCACATTTCAAACCTAATAACCAGGAATCCTCGCCTATAAAACCATTAGACTTAAAGAATCTAAAAAAGTGGACAGATGCTGGAAACGATCTAATCAATAGCACATTACGTAGGCATCTATGGTTTAAAAGCGAAATGATTTTGCTGAGATACTAAGAGAAATTTCAGAAATGATTTAATGACAGAGAGAGGTGGGAGGGTTACTGAATATTTTATGAAGGTGGGTGTTTGATCTTAATGTTTAATAAGGCAGCCTGTGTGATGCAACCATCACTTCAACTAGCTTTACAGCCTATTTAAATACCTTATCACATTTTCTACTTTCTCTGCTCACTTTTTAAAATAATAATGCATATTATATATTATACATATTATAAATAATGTTATAAATAATGTAAAATATACATAATGCCAACAGACCATTAAAAGACATATCTTGTGCTTGTTGGTCGATGCTGTTGAGTTGCTAAATTAATTATAGGATTTTTGAAAAAAATCTGTTCTATTTTTACTCAAAATAAAACATTCTAAATTCAGAATATTCCTCTGGCCACATTTGGAATAAAAATAGGTTCATAATGGCATATAACTAATAGATGACATTTATATCAATGATATAGAAATGATAGTGTTTACTTTGTAGCGAATGACTTTAGAAAAAATAAACTGATTAACTATTTTACTAGATTATAAACTAGATTAACTATTTATTTTATTGTTATTCCACAGTTGCTAAATATGAGGCACTATTTAAATGTGTGCTTATACTGACATCTTGTGGCCGAACAGTAAAGTGTTAATCGAGTAATTACTACTGATCTATAATAGAGAATGCCAATGTCAATGATAATCACATGTTTTACTTATTTTATCTAGTACACATTTTCTTTGATTTATTGTTGGGAAGGGTACATCATGAACATTTATTTCATTATTACATTTTGGCTGCTATAGTCTCAGTGAAACATTGACAGCTCCTGACACACATATTGATATCTAGAATCATAACACTGTTAACAGTAATATCCTGAACTTCTCAGGTTTTGAACTCTACACTATTCATCGTTGGGTGCAATGTATTAGCTGCACTCCATCATAGTGAAGTTCTCAATGTTCTGCTACCACACTGATACAGTTTATACATCTTTATGTCTTTATGTCCCTCCTGTTTCCCTTTACTGTACATTTCCAGACTGAGCACAGGAAGCAGTGGGAACCACAGGAAATTACAGCAGAGCTTGGACCTACTATGCAGAGCCTGGTCAACGTGGGTCGGTCCTGAGCCATGCAATGAACTAAAACTAGAATTATGAACTTTCAATAACTAGAATTAGAAACTTTACTTACTAGAAATATACTTTTTTATTTTGAGACTGGAGGTTAACAAACATCAGAAAAAATGTTTGCTTGCTACAGGATTTAGGTAACTGCAATAGTGAATTCTGCAGTGAATTAATTGTAAATAGAAGAAGCTGACCAGGTGTTATTTGAAATAAAAAATCAGTACTATAACAGTACTAATAAGTCATGCATAACTACAACTACAAATGAAGTAAATTGTTAAGAGCTGACTTTATTTCTTGAGTGCCCAGTCACTGATATCATTTAAATTAGGCCCAAATCCACTGTTCTTCTAGTTTCAGAACAATGGAGTGATTATTTTCTTGTTTTGAAGTTATATTGTGTAGCTGTATTTTGAATGTTTTTAATGTGTTTAATTTATTGTAATGTATGATATTTATTGTAATATATGATGTATTATACAGTGTTACAAATTATTTATCATCAATTGTTACTTTTAAAAGCATTACTATTTATTTATTTATCATTCATTCATTCATTCACAAGGTGTGGAATTCAATAAGTGATTCATAATTAATAACACATTATATAATTATTATTTATAAAAAAAAATTAATGTGGTGGTACATGTTTATTTATTTATTTACTTACCCACCCATCCACCCAATATGGGGACTTCAAGAAATCCAGATAAATACATAAAAAATACTACAGAATATTTAATAATACAAGAAGCACTTTATTTTTTACTTCGTTCTTTTATTATTATTTCGCACCTTTTATTGCGAAATGTATTTATTTATTTATTTGCACTATATCTAATGATAATCGTAGAGTAAAACAGGGAGATTGTGACGAATCTGCCATTTTTCAATTTAACTCCATTCCAAATATACAAAAAAAAAATGGCGAAAGTACCGAACTGAATCCCCGCCGTCACTTACTCATTTCTGGGGATTTCATCATTCGGTTCCGCGGTGTGGCTGCTCCTCCTCTCGGTCCATGCTGTCTCTGCGGAGCGCAACATCAGCACTCCTGCTCAGGACCGGTACACAGATCGCCACTGTCCGCGCGGTTCCAAGGGTCCGATCCAGTCCCATACGCCTGTGTGGTTCCCCTCCGATCAGAGCGCTCTCCCTGTCGGGCTGTTTGTGCAAGAAGAAGAAGAGAAGCGCGTGGCTGGAGATGACGGAAGGACGGAATATGGATGGCAGTATTGAAGAGGTTCTGGCTCCATTGAGGCTAGCAGTGAAGGAGCAGGTAACACGATTATGAAAGACAATAACAAGCATATAAATGTGCTGCATTATTGTTTCACAGAGCCATGCAAACACCTATCTGCTTTGTATACGAAGTTGAGCTATGATTTAGGAGTCAAATGTGTCTTTTTAAATTATGCAAAGCAGTTTAAATGGCTTATGAAAAACTACATAATGCATTTTTGCTAAAGTGATGTTTTTAGGAAATATGACAGGGTGGTGGCTTTATTATGAGTTTATACCGCTGGATGATTCAGTCTGTCAGTGCCACGTTTGATACAGTGCAGAAACCAATGGAGACTGAGGGTGGAGGAAATCACACACCGTTAAAACGAACCTCGACTTGTTTCTGGGAAATGTTGATGGATGCATTTGTATTCTAATATTTAGGAGTCATAATAATAAACAGCATTTTGTGTTGTTTATTTTTCCATAGGGGGATCTTGTGCGTAAACTGAAGGCAGAAAACGCTCCTGAAGTAGATGTCAATAAGGCCGTAGCAGAACTGAAAGCTCGCAAGAGAATCCTTGAGGCCAAGGTGAGAAATGTTATTGTCATTTATGTTACATGGAGATGCCGTTAAAAATGATATGTGTCGTTTTAATGTTAAATACTTTCTCTTGCCTCAGTGTAATATAAACAACTATGGAGTGCAACAGTGCCCGCCTACTTTTCCAGGAGTAGCTTATTTCCATTCATATTTCCCATAGGGATTTTTAAAAAGTCTTTGTTAAAGCTTTATCACCTATAAACCAAGCCAACCAGCAAAGAGAGAAATCACAACATTACAAACTTTGATTTGAATCAAAATGAGAAGAAGAAAAAAATCGAGACAAAATGAAAACCAAGCTTCAAAGATGTGTATCATATATACAAATAATTTATTTTAAATGTATATATTTATTTAGTCATTTATTAGCCGCTTTTATCCAAAGCGACTTACAAATGAGGACAACAGAAGCAATCAATTGTTGTATTAAAACAACTAAAAACAGATCCAAAACTAAAAGCTAAAACTTTATAAATACTACACTCTAAAAATGCC